TCTCTGTCTCTCTGTCTCTCTCAAAAAATATAAAATAAACATTAAAAAAATTTGTTTTAAGTCAACTTTCTGTGGAAGTAAAACACCCACACAGAAAATACTAAATTTTCATAAAAATGTAACCAGCACCAGGGCACCTGGGGGGCTCGGTCGGATAAGCATCGGACTTTGGCTCAGGTCATGATCTCGTGGTTCGTGAGTTCGGTCCCTGCATTGGGCTCTGCACTGGCAGCGTAGAGCCTGCTTGGGATTCTCTCTCTCTCTCTCTCTCTCTGCCCTCCCCCCCACTCTCTCTCTCAAAATAAATCAAATCAATAAACTTAACAATAAATAAATAAAACAATATCAACACAGCAGAACCTCCTCACCCCCAGTCCCTGCCCTCCCCTCAAGGGTAACTACTGTCCCTTCTAGCACCTTAGATGAGCTTTACCCAGAATATCTTTGTTTTGAAAAGGCTGTAAAGCAAATAACAGCAACAATGGCCACCATTTATTGTTGGCTAACTCTGTGCCTTGCCCAATGTCAAGTGCTTCACCTGTATTCCCTGTCATTAATCCTATAGAGTAGGTTGTATTATTTTTATTTATTTTTTTTTAATTTATTTTGAGGGGGGGAGAGGCAGAGAGAGACAGGGAGCCAGACTCCAAAGCAGGCTCCACGCTGTCAGTGCAGAGCCCGACACGGGGCTTGAACTCATGAACCAACTCATGAACCAACTCATGAACCATGGGATTGTGACCTGGGCTGAAACCAAGAGTCAAACACTTAACCGACTGAGCTACCCGGGCGCCCCCAGCTTCCTTCGTTTTAATTTTTGCTTCCAACTTAGGACCGACCAGAGGAAGCCAAGTATGTCCCCTCACACCGTCACATAGGATGGTCAGCTTTCCCAGGCCAACAGCCTCCTCTCAGGACATATGTGAACCCTCTCTTTTTTCCGCCATAAAGCTTTCCCGCTCCTCTGCGTGCCTTTGAGTCTCTGCTGAATTCAAGGGCTCACTCCCTTGCTCGGGGAGGCTCTGGATTAATAGCCTTTGCCTGTTCTCATTTGGTTGGTCTTCACTTGCATCCACACTGGGGATACAGAGTTGAGCAAACACAGACCTTCAACCTGACGAACTGCATGATCATGACCTGAGCTAAAACCAAGAGTCAGACACTCAACCAACTGAGCCACCCAGGTGCCCCAAAACTCTGCCCCCATTAAACATCTACCCCCTCTCCCCTGTCCCTCACTCTCTGGTACCCACCATTCTTTCTGTCCCTGTGTATTTAATGACTCGAGGGACTTCATAAAAAGGGAGCCATAGGGGCGCCTGGGTGGCGCAGTCGGTTAAGCGTCCGACTTCAACCAGGTCACGATCTCGCGGTCCGTGAGTTCGAGCCCCACGTCGGGCTCTGGGCTGATGGCTCAGAGCCTGGAGCCTGTTTCCGATTCTGTGTCTCCCTCTCTCTCTGCCCCTCCCCCGTTCATGCTCTGTCTCTCTCTGTCCCAAAAATAAATAAACGTTGAAAAAAAAAATTAAAAAAAAAAAAAAAGGGAGCCATACAATATTTGTTCTTTTGCATGAACCAACGTTTTGACCCCCAGATTGCACACACTGGAATTCACATATAATCATGGCTGCCTCGTTGATTCAGAGGATATGTTTACTGGGTCTTTCTTATCTTTACTCCCTATCAGAAAAGTAGCATGAAAATCTAAAGTGTCTTGGTTTAACCTGTATGCTATTTTCATTTAAATGGGAAGATTTTTAAAAATGTTTTTTTATCTGTATGGACAATTGTAAGCCCTTCCACGGAAAGAAACGACTCAGCGAGTTTCTATGGCAACTTAATGTCAGCAACCTACATTCTTGAGACTGATTTTCAGAAACTGCTTTCTTAGGGCTGGGCAAGTTGATGCTGGCTGGTAATCCTGTTTTCAAGCTCTTTTCTCCGATTTCATTTATCCATTCATCAAATAATTACTGAGCACCTAACTAGGTCAGGGACTGTACCAGGCATTGGGGCATATCATGCGGGCAAGACAGAAATAGTGCCGACTTGATGTTTGGTAATTTAAGAAATGCTGTGGGTGTTCCTGAGAGAAAGTTCTCATTGACGACACCAGCAATGCTGGGAGTACGTAGGGGGGTATATTTGGGGACAAACTAAAGGTGACTATCCTGACGGTATTTCCCAGGGAAGAGTCTAACGATCCTGAATTGTCTTCTTCGAAGCCACTGACTATTTCTGATTGCAACATGGGATTGGTTTTTGACTTTAAAAAAACTTGAATTCAGGGGTGCCTGGGTGGCTCAGTCAGTTGAGCATCTTGACTCTTGATTTCAGCTCAAGTCATGATCCCAGGCCCGTGGGATCAAGCCCCACGTCAGGCTCCTGGCTGAGCGTGGAGTCTGCTTGAGATTCTCTCCCTCCCTCTGCCCCTCTCCCCCACTCATGTACTCTAAAATAAAAATTTTTACTTAAAAAAAAATTTGAATTCAGGGGCGCCTGAGTGGCTCAGTCGGTTGAGTGCCCAACCCAACTTCGGCTCAGGTCATGATCTCACAGTTTGTGAGTTCGAGCCCCACCTCGGGCTCTGTGCTGACAGCTCGGAGCCTGGAGCCTGCTTCGGATTCTGTGTCTCCCTCTCTCTC